CTTACTGCACAAGCGGAGATCTGTGTTTCTTTTGCCACAGACAATAAATCTTTAGTGTCTCCTCTTGCCACGCATCACTCCACTTGCTCTCAGGAGGCACCATACGTCTCTCTTTCCCTCTGCCTCTTCTAGCAAGGTCACTTTCCAGTGATGAAACAACTTTTCCAGAAGGTATAGTGTTCAATAATTAATACCTACAGATAATAGCTTCCCAGAGCAGTGCTTTAAAGCTCTAATGCTCATCACAGACTTACAGCAGGAAGAACCCTTAAAATAGACCTGTGTAGCACGTCTGAAAATATCAGCCTCAGGAACTGTGGGTGCATATGGCTGAACTTACACAGGTACTGACAGACCTGAGCCCTGGTGCCTAAGGAAGCCCAGCCCTTCCTTCCCTCACCAGCCAGTGCCACTGCATCGCAAGTGTGAGCAGGTCAGGTCACCCTCACACGTGTGTGGTGTCATCTCCTGTTCCTTCCGCCCCTGCACAGGTGGGTTCTGCAGGAACAGGGTCCCCGGCATGAGGGTGCTCGGGAAGGTGCCCGACTGCAGGCTCTGAGGGCACTCAGGCCGAGAGCCACAGGTGGGGGACAGGCCCTGGTTCAGGAGTGGCAGTGACCCAGAGCATGGTCCCTCCTACCAGCCATTCCATTACCACCAAAGTGGCCTTTCAGGCCACCTCCAGTGACAGCAGCATTTGACAGAAGCACGGACAATACTGTACCTGAGCATGCACTGGAAACACCAGGTTATCAGTAATTTCAGTGTTTCTCCTGGCTCATGGATGGTGCCACCATCTTGTCTCCAAGGAGGCCTGGAGGCATGTGGCTTAGCCCTAAGGCAGTAGGTGAAGCAGTCACTAATAAAACTACTATTATTCAGAGCCATCTCAGGAACAATGCCCTCTATGCCATGAGTTTCTAACTTAAGAAGTGCATGCCATATATAAATACAGGTGGGTTTGTGTGGGTCATTCTGGGCTGCTGTTAAGATCTGACATAGCTTGAGTTTTGTCTGTGTGTGGAAGTGAAATCTCTGCGCCTGAAGCTCCAGGACAAATGAGAATGTACTCATGGGAGCAAAACTGTTTTATGTTGCATTTCTTTTGCACCAAATGCCCTTGTCTCTGATATTACAGTCTAACTCTCCAGTTTTCATGCCATAAAAATGGAATATGAACCCCTGGATCGATGGCTCTCTGTTCCCAGCTGGTGTTCAGGACTCACCAGGGGCATCTCTCTCCTTTGTTTCATTATTGGGGTTCACAGTGTCTCTGTCCATGTGCCTCAGTCCCCCCGTCCCTCAGGAGAGCCCCACTGCTCTGCCAAGAGGACATGCTGCATTTAGGGATGTTTGGCTGTGGCCCAGTGGGAAGGCATGTCCTCCCTGCTGCTGGAGGGATACAGGACGCTGATTTTCTCCTGACGTCTTTGAGCCGAAGCCTAATATTACTTTTCTTTCCCTAAGCAGAGAATTTATGGGTTTATAAATCAGGAAGGACTGACATCAAACACACCCTGAGCGTGCCTCAAAGCATTCACAGAATGCCATCTGGGCATGTGGCTCACTTGGAAGGAAAGGGCTTTAATTACAATCAGCATAGGAAATATAAATTTATGGAAAGAGGAAGAGTTCCTTCAGTTTACCTTCTTTTGGACTGTTGAAATATATTAAAAGTCAATTTCAGGAAGACCTTAACACTTGTGACCCAAACCACTCACAACCTTTAAAAATCCCAACACAGGATTTCCCTTGCAGTGTGCACCACAGCTGTAATATTTGTCCAGCACTGCAAAATGGGCTTTCCTTTGGTAAAACAGGTTATACTTGGCAGGAATTTAACATCACCTGGTATAAAGTGCTGTTCCAAGCTCCATGGCTCTGTGCTGGTTATGGATTTGGCTCTGACCGGGAGCAGTGTGGAGCAGATACACTTGGGCCTGCTCCCCCCAGGGTCAGGTCTGCAGAGACCAGCCCAGAACTTTATGGGGAAAGTTGGATGGGAAGGCATATCATGAATCTGGAGGGAAAAAGGGAGGATAAACCACATTTCAGCTTGGTAGGTTTTGCAGCTTTTAAATGCCTGTACACCAAAAAGCAGCTGCCAGGAGCAAAAAGGAAAAATGTGTGGCTTTTCCTTTCTTTCAAGGAAAAATGTGAGGCTGTTGTACTCTGCTCACCAAAATATAAGGGATGCAGATCCCCAAGAGCAGGCCCTTGGGCTCTGCTCAAAATGTTCAGCCCTAAATAATCAACTTTCTTCTGGATCATACTCGCTTCCTAAAGGTACCTGTCCATCATTTTACAGCTATTCCAGATTTTAGCAGGTTTTATGTTCAACTGTAATGTAAAATAAAATATCATCCATCTCCTTGGGCACAGAAAGATACAAAACGTGCTATGAGCTCCCGTGTGCTTTGCACCTGCACTTGACCTCTGCTCAGACAGTCATAGTTTGCATCCAGCAAGGAAACTCATATTTCACACCAGTAAAGAATTTCTTGTTTCAGGGGAAAAATGTGATAATGAGCTCCAAGAAAATCTAATCCTTTTTCACTGGATCAAACTGATTTAAGTTGCAGGGTTTGGCTTGCTGGACTAAGCAATAAAACCAGAACAAGACCGTGGGAGAGAAGTGCAGACAG